CTGGCTGTTTCAGCAGGCAGGACTGGCCTAGGGGTAATTTTAAATTGGTTTTAATTAAATTTTAGTAGTGCGGCCGATTCGAATATTTATTTTTAATTTATCTTAGATTTGTATTTTGTGTAATTGTTTTAACTGGCTGTAAGCCGCCCTGAGTCCTCCGGGAGAAGGGCGGGGTATAAATGAAATAAATCCTAAATCCATAAATCCTAAATAATAAAATAAATAATAAAATAAAATAATGAAATAAAAATAATAAAATGAAATAAATAAAATGCAATAAATAATCAAATAAAACAGTGAAATAAAAAAATAATGAAATACAATACAATAAATAATAAAATAAAATAAAATAATGAAATAAAAAATAAAATAATGAAATAAAATAATGAAATGAAATACAATAAATAATAAAACAATGAAATAAAAAATAACAAAATAATGAAATAAAATATAGTGCATTTGAAAAAGAGCTTGATCTGAGTTTTATTGAAAGGGGGGGAATTCCTTTGGGTGGGGCGAGCAGGGGAGGGGCTCCCCTTCCAGACCTGGGGGTGGCTGCTCTCCCCTCCTGGAAGGAGGGACCCCCTTGCCAGAGGATCTAAGGTTGGGGGGGGGAGGAGACCCCTTTTATGGCCCATTTGCATTAAGCCCCCTTTTCCTTCCTTATCTTTTGGTGATCAAAGAGACACTTTTGCCCCCGCCCCCCCCCAGCCTGACTTTGTTCTTCAGAACTTGAAAGGTGGACGGAGGCTCCAGGTGGGGCCAAGCCGGCTGCCCCCTGGGGGGAGCTGACCCCTGTCACCTGGACAGGCTTTGAAGTGGGGCTGGCATCCCCCCCACCCACCCAGCCATCCCCCTGCCCTGCTGTCTGGGATGTCCTGAGTTGGCTCCAGAGCTGAACGACCCCCTCCCCTCAACTGGCCCCCAGTATAAATCTCCAGGACCGACCCCAGACACAAGCCGGGAACCTTCCCAGGTGGGACCATGCAGATCCTGGCCTGGCTGACCTGCCTTTACGGCCTGCTGGGTAAGTCTTGGCCCTGACCCCTTCCCCCAGCCCCATTCGGGGAATATGGAGGGGTCCAGAGGGTCCCCCAATGCTCAGGCACCCAAAGGGGCCCTACAGAAGATGGTCCTTCCTTGCAGAAAGATTGCAAGAGCCCCCCCCCAGCAAAGTTGGGTCTGGCTGCCTCGCCCATGCTCCTCAGCCGGCACGCTTGGATGGCTGGGGAGGATGGGAGATAACAGATGAGAGAGAGGAGGAGAGACAGGAGAGTCCAGGGTTGCAAAAAAAACAGGGGCCTTTCAGCATCTTGTGCTAGTCAACGTTTACTCAGAGGGAGAAGTTAACAGAATCACAGAGTTGGAAGGGGCCTTAGAGGTCTTCTAGTCCAGCCCCCTGCTCGAGCAGGAGACCCTAGACCATTCCAGACAAATGGCTGTCCAGCCTCTCCTTAAAAGCCAGGCTCCTGGGACGATGCCCCCCCCAGCCCCACCTCGCCCAGCTCTGGCTCCAGGACTTGGGTCCAAGGTCCCAGAGGAGACAGGTGAGGTGTAGGTGAGGCTGCTTGATGGCTATTGGCAAGAGCTGAATGGAACCTCCTTGTTCAGGGACACGCTATCTGAAAGCAGGTGAGGACAAAAGAAGGAAGGTGAACGTCCCAGAGGCATTGGAGTCAGCACAAGGCTGTGGTGGGAGGAGACCCTTCCCAGAAGTGTTACAAAGACCTTTTTGCTTTTGCTTTTTTTTCCATTTCATTGTACACTCCCCCCTCCCCCCCTGCCTTTCCCAAGGATCTGGTATGGGATAATTGGGAGAGCCGAATGGAACCTCTGTGTTCAGAAGCAGTCTACCTTGAATAAAGGTGGGGAGACGCTCTAAGGAGCTATCCTGATGGGTATCAAGCTGGCAACTTCTTGGAAGCAAGAATAGAATAGAAAATAGAATAGAAAATAGAAAATAGAATAGAATAATGCAATGAGAATAGAATAGAAAAGAACAGAACAGAACAGAATAGAAGAAAGAATAGAATAGAATAGAATAGAATAGAACAGAACAGAACAGAATAGAATAAAATTAAATAATAGAATAGAATAGAACAGAACAGAACAGAATAGAAGAAAGAATAGAATAGAATAGAATAGAATAGAATAGAATAGAATAGAATAGGAGCAGAACAGAACAGAACAGAATAGAATAAAATTAAATAGAATAGAATAGAATAGAATAGAGTTGGAAGGGACCTTGGAGATCTTCTAGTCCAACCCCCTGCTCAGGCAGGAAAAACTATACCATTCCAGAAAAGAGCCTGTCCAGTCTCTTCTTAAATGCCTCCGGTGTTGGAGCATTCACAACCTCTGGAGGCAAGGAGTTCCATTGGTTAAGAGACTGGAAGGGAGCTTGAGTTGTGTTTAGGAGACGGTTGGATAATTAGCCAAGCTTCCGGTCCTGGTGAAATGAAGAGTGGGAAGCATTCCTGGAGGGTGTTTCCTCCCACAGTCGGACAGATGTTCAGGCCGGATTTGGGCATTTTTGGCACAGGGCAGATGTGGGTGTTTGATGGTGTTAGAGGAGGGGTGGGGAACCTTGGCTCTTTTATGACCTGTGGACTTCAACTCCCAGAATTCCTGAGCCGGCCACATGGCCGGCTCAGGAATTCTGGGAGTTGAAGTCCACAAGTCATAAAAGAGCCAAGGTTCCCCACCCCTGTGTTAGACGAAACATTTGCAGCCAAATTGCCAAGCTTGGAGATCAAAGCAACAGCCCAACATCTGGTGCGTTTGAATCCCGCTAGTAAACCCTAGATGCTAAGTGGGATTCCACTGAATTAATCCTGGGGGTGATTGTGCCTTAACGAAGAGAAGTGGGCAAATTCCACTCCCCAAATTCACCCGGGAAGGGCGCTCTTTAACACCCCTAGTGTTAAAGTGTGTGATTGTGTGTGATTGTGCGCACCAGATGCACCCACGTTCCTGATCACCATTGGTTTATTTATGTGTCCAACCCTGGAGAATTTTAAGAAGAGACTGGATAGCAAACTGTCTGAAATGATCCTGCTTGAGCCGGGGGGTTGGACTAGAGGACCTCTGAGGTCCCTTTCCACTCTGTGATTCTGTTGTCCCTCTGTCTCCAATCAAAACATGACTTAACTATTTTTTTTTAAATATGCCACACAGAGCAAAGAATCCAAATAAATGAATTTCTCCATTCCTTAATCTCCAGATTATAGAAGGAAGCAGTTCAGGACTTGATGGGGAAAAAATGGGGCTTTGATGACCTTTTCCAAACCCAGCAGGGGATTATTATATCTGCAGCTTCAGCTCAGCTGCCCAGCCTCCTTCCTGCCTAGTTTAAAGGAATCTCCCTGCCAGGACTTGCTTTGAAATAAATTCCTCTCTTGGCTTTTCACCTAATGGAAACAAGGCACTTTGAGAAATGCAGAGTGTAAACTGGGTTAAAAATAACTTTCTACCGTTGTCCTGCTTCAGAAAAAAGGGCTCCCCTGTGCAACAGAGAGAAATGCCGAATAATATTTATATGTTACTTATATGTAAGGGTGTAGGGCAGTGGTGGCGAACCTATGGCACGGGTGCCAGAAGCGGCACTCAGAGCCCTTTCTGTGGGCACACGTGCCGTCGCCCCAGTCCTAGGCCTTCAGCTGGGTTTTATAAAACCTTTTCGCTTTAGGCCTCCGCTGCTGTGTGCAAAAAAAAAAAAAACCGGTTCAATCGATCAGTCAATTTCAACTTCTCGTGGGAAAAAAAAGATCTTGCAATTGGAATTGATTGATTGAACTTTTTAGTCCCACCCAGTCTACTGTTACCACCGCAGCCACGCCCACCCAATGGGCTACGCCCCCCAAATTGGCCACACCCAGCCAATGGGCCACACCCACCCGGCACCCGACCATGCATAAATGGGTTTTGGGTTGCAGTTTGGGCACTCGATCTCTAAAAGGTTCACCAACACTGGTGTAGGGTCAGGGGTAGGCAACCTTGGCTCTTTTATGACTCGTGGACTTCAACTCCCAGAATTCCTGAGCCGGCCACATGTTGTATGTAGTATGTTTTAAATGTGTGTTATGTATGCCACACTTGGAATCCTGCATCCAGTTTTGGTCACCACTATATAACAAACTTGCTGAGACTCTAGAAATAGTACAGAGAAGAGCAACAAAGAGGATCAGGGGACTGGAGGCTAAAGCATACAAGGAAAGGCTGCTGGAATTGGGTCTGTCTAGTTTAACAAAGAGAAGGACGAGGGGGGACATGATAGCAGCGTTCCAGTATCTCAGGGGCTGCCCCAAAGAAGAGGGAGTCAAGCTATTCTCCAAGGCGCCTGAAGGCAGGACAAGAAGCAACGGATGGAAACTCATCAAGGAGAGATTCAACCTGGAACTAAGGAGAAACTTCCTGACAGTGAGAACAATTAACCAGCGGAACAACCTGCCTCCAGAAG